TAGGACAAGCGCATTTCAAAAAATGACAATGAAACTCTTGCTCTTTGGCATGACAGTTATCTTATGCCAAGTAGCAATTGCGACAACCAATAAATGACAATATAAGTGGTTACATCCGATGCAGTTTGAATTTGCAAGTCCCTTTGCATATAATTGACGTCGTTCGTAGTGATGTTCGCGACACCATAATTACATGCCATGATTCTGAATTGTTGAGCAAAATGAACATCGTGTGAAGTTTTATGGATAATACTCGATTTGTTGTTTTGTTTGTATGATGTTTGAAAATCATATTAAGAAATGACTCGTTACATTCATGAATGCATTATTACGAAGGAATCTAGGTGTATGTTTAGTAACATGGGTACATAACCACAAAATCTTATATGTGGGTGAAAATGTTGAGTGTGTTGGCAGGTATGTAAGTAAGCGGACAAGACAACAGTTACAAAGGAAGGGTGGGGGGTTGGAGGAATGCGTTTTTTTTATCGGTTGGCAAGGTCGTCAATTCATACGAAAACTTTGCTCACAAGTACCAATGTCGGTTGGTTTCATTATTGAATGACTGCTTGCTTGTTTCCATGGCTGGTTAGCTGGTTGGATTGTCGGATGGTCAACGAGTTAACTGGTCGGTTCGCTGGTTGTTTGGGTTGTCCATTGCTGTGGTGGTTAGTTGCCAGACATGAATGTACGTACGTAGGTTGGAACTTGGAACCTACATGTTTTGTAAGGTGGGTGTTTATATATAAAGGTATGTCCCTAAATAAGCACATAGGTAGTTGGGTTTGTATGTACACAGGTTGGTGGGTTGGAAGGTAGACGAGTAGTGAGGAGGGTGGGCACAAATAGTTAGACAGGTGTGCACGTTGGTGCGTGAATAGTCAGTTGGGCACGCAAGCAAAGTACTTCGTACGTATGTGTCTGTACATAGGTGGCTGGGCAATGGGTATGCATTTACACAGGAAGTTAGGTGGGTTCAGTAGTATGAAGTGAAGTGGGTAAGTCGGTAGGCATATAGGTAGGTGGGTAGATATGTGTGGAGGCAATACTGTAGGTAGGTAATTATGAAGCTAGGTAAGTAGATGGGTGGATAGGTAGGTAGTTAGGAAGGTTGGGGTGGGTGAGTTGCTTGGATGGTATACAGGTTGGCTCATTTGATGGATGTTTGATTGGTTGGTGGACACAATCAATCCGTCATATCCATCAATCAATATATTGAAATATAGAATGAACGTTGCGCACACAAACATGTTGGCAAGTAATCTTTGAGGTAGGTATGTAGGACGGTACGTAGGTAGGTAGGTCGGTTGGTCGGTTGGTCGGTAGGTAGGTAGGTAGGTAGATAGGAAGGTAGGTAGGCAGGTAGGTGGGTAGGTGGGTAGGTAGGTAGGTAAGTAGGTAAGTAGGTATGTGGATAGTAGGTAGGTAGGTAGGTGGTTAGGTAGGTAGGTAGGCAGGTAAGTAGGTATGTG